CCCCAAGCTCCCCAGAGACCCTGTGAGCCCCCCAGGGGCCGCTGAGCCCCCCACAGACTCCCGTGCTGCTCACGGTCAAGTCGCTGGACGACTACGAGTCGTACGGTGAGCACGGGGCTGCCGCCAGCCCCTGGAGACACCATGAGACCTTTGGGGACCCCCTGAGCCCCTTGGGGACCTGTGAGCCCCTCGGGGACCCCGTGAGCCCCTCGGAGACTCCTGAGCTCCCCAGAGACCCCCTGAGCCCCCTGGGGACCCTGTGAGACCTCCAGAGACCCTTGAGTCCCCCAGGGACCCCGTGAGCCCCCCAGGGACCCCCGAGCTCCTTGGGGACCCCTGAGTCCCCGAGGGACCCCTGAGTCCGCCAGGGACACCCTGAGACCTGCAGGGACCCCGTGAGCCCCTCAGGGACCCCTGAGCCCCTCCGGGGCTCCCCACCAGAGACCCCATGAGCCCTCCAGGGACCCGTGAGCCCCCTGGGGACCCCGTGAGTCCCCCAGAGACACCTGAGCCCACCAGGGATCCCTGAACTCCTCAGGGACCCCCGAGTCCCCCAGAGACCCCTGATCCCCCCAAGGAACCCTATGAGCCCCCCAGGGACTCCTGAGCTGGCCAAAGACCCCATGAGCCCCCCAGGGACCTCTGAGTCCCCCAGAGACCCCCTGAGCCCCCCGGGGACCCTGTGAGCCCCCCAGGGACCCCGTGAGCTCCTCGGGGACTCCCAAGCTCCCCAGAGACCCCCTGAGTCTGCCAGGAACACTCTGAGCCCCACAGGGACCCCATGAACCTCTCAGAGACCCCTGAGCCTGCAGGGACCCCCAAGCTCCCCAGAGATGCCCCGAGCTCCCGAGGGACCCTGTGAGGTCCCTGGGGACCCCTGAGGCCCCTGGGGAATGCTGATCTCCCCAGAGACCCCATGAGTCCCCTGGGGATCCGTGAGCCCCCCGGGGACCCCCAAGCTCCCTAGAGATCCCCTGAGCCCCCCGGAGACACCTGATCCCCCCAAGGACCCCCTAAGGCCCCCAGGAACCCTATGAGCCCACCAGGGACTCCTGAGCTGACCAAAGACCCTGTGAGCCCCTCAGGAACCTCTGAGTCCCCCTGGGGACCCCATGACCCCCCCAGGGACCCCGGAGCCCCCCAGAGATCCCGTGAACCCCTCAAGGACCTCCGAGCTCCACAGAGACCCCGTGAGCCCCCCAGGGAC